CTCAGTATCTCTTTGTGTGTGCAGTTGCATCTGGCATCATAACTTCCAAGATAATTTCTATGTAAACCTTCTGAAGACACAGCCAAAAAAAACATTTTTTTTTTTTGTGCACTTTGTCAATGTCACTCTTCATTCCTGTGGTTACATGCACATTAATGAAAGATTTCCACTACAGCCGCCGTGGGATAGTGAACCAATCAAAAGTGTATTGAAGAGTAGCCTTTTCCCCGTAACCCAATCAGCATTGTGTATGCATGAGTCACTCCCACACCCTGCCCTTACATGGCAAGGAGGACTGGCCAAGGTCTACAGATGGATATAAAGGCTGCTAGTACAGAGACAACAGAACCACAATACCAAGACTACTATTATTACTACTACTACTACTACTACTACTACTACTACTACAGAACCACAACTACCAAGACTACTACTACAGAACCATAAGGAGGGAAACAGCTACCGACTTGACTCAGGTAAGATTCGATTACTAATCATAATTTTAGATTCAATGTCCATTGATTTAATCTATCTAGCACAATAACATCTATTGTTGGGCACAATTTCAGATCGAATAGTGCTAGCTGTAGATCGCACTGATATCAAAAGACGTAATCCCTTCCAATGATTGCATAAAAAATTGTACATTCATCAATACTCTGGGAAGAGTATTTATTTAACTAACATTTCCATCTGTGTGGCATATATGCTATTTTAAACTACTTATCATTTTCTGCTTGTTAAAAATAAGGGGTATAATGTTGTGTGCCAATGTTGTAGAGAGTCAACCGATGTTCAAAGAGAAGACTGTAATCTGTCCTTCAGCTTTATGACAGTTAGCTCACTGTATCTTAAATTCAAGATGCATTTGCAGAATGTGCGCACACACTAAAAAGTTTGCAAAAGATTGACAAGGCTGCATTGTGAATATTCTGAATACAAGTTCAAGCAAATGGCCCCACATAATTCAAATTCAATAAAGTTGGCACTACTTGCAGACATGAGCGATGTACATACTAAAATACTCTCTTCTCTCTAGGACTACAGTGTGCAGCAGCAGCCATGGACAAGGAGACAGTGCTCATAATCCTAAACGGCATAGAGAAAGTCTCCTCCTTCGCCTCCACCATAAACCCACTCTTCAACATAGTCACCGCAGTGGTGAAGGTGACAAAGGGCCTTGTCGCCAAAGACCTCACCCAAGACCTGGACGCCCAACAATTCCGCCGCATCCATGCCAAACTGGAAAGCATCTCCAAGACAAACCAGCAGATTCTGAAGCAGATTCACCTGGACGAGGTCAATGAGAAGTACAGCAAGTATGAAGAGTATATCAAGCACCAGTACACTGCCCTCAACACCATGGTGGAGCAGATTGAAAAAGACCCTGAGGGAAGAGAGGGCTACATGGCAGAGTTCCAGAGGGTCTATGAGAGAGACAAGAGTACCCTTGCTCTGAACACGTACTACAGCGGGGTCATAAAAGAGAAGAAAAATTTTGAACAAAGGGGTTTGCTGGAGGTGTACCTAGAGCATTACAAGGAAGAACGAGGCGACATGGAGAAAAAGTGCTCCCAACTGGCTAATGTCTTTCGAATGGGCCTGATGACACTAATGGCATATACGGTGGTCACAGAGGATAATGAGGATGAAGTCAGGGATAAATGGGCCCCCAGGGTGAAGGCTATTCAGGCCAAGATGGATGAGGCGCTGGCCCAGTGTGAGGGGAACTGATCCTCATCCACTCCCAGGGTTGGGTGGGCATATGAGGGCTTTAAAGGGATACTTCTGGATTTTGGCAATTGATCTACTTCACCAGAGTCAGATGAACTTGTGGGTATAAATGTAATGTCTCTGTGTCCAGTATGAAGGAAGTTAGAGGTAGTTTTGTGAGTCAATGCTAACTGGCATTAGCGCAATGACTGGAAGTCTGAGTATCTGCAAGTCATCTGACTCTGGGGAAGTAGATAAAGGGCCTCATTGCCAAAATCCAGAAGTATCCCTTTAAGGTTAAAAGCTGTTTGGAGACTAAACTAGTCCTCTTCCCTCAATTAAAAAAGAAAAGTAATTTCCTTTTGGGTGGTGGGCAATCTTCTTTGTCAATGAATGCAATTGATTAAATATAGATTTTATAGTATTTTGCTATGAGCAGTGTTGCACTTCAGCCCTCATGTTTTCTATTTCCCACTGCCAACGCTGTCATGTTTACTTTGAGAAATTAGTCTGAATGCGTGTTTTATGATAACCTTGTATATCGTTGTTTTTTTCTTACTTGGATTAAGTGTACTTTTACTTCTTGACTTTTTCTAAATAAATGCTTTTTTGCACTTGTTATTAATTGTTATTCATTTTTATGTTCTTAGATGGAATTATGTAAATAGACCAATGGTGTTAAAGTATAGTCCACTTTATTAGGTTCAAAACATTTAACACTTTCAAAAGTGTAACATTAACCTCTGTGCAGTGTGGGACAATATACACTGCTCAAAAAAATAAAGGGAACACTTAAACAACACATCCTAGATCTGAATGAATGAAATAATCTTATTAAATACTTTTTTCTTTACATAGTTGAATGTGCTGACAACAAAATCACACAAAAATTATCAATGGAAATCAAATGTATCAACCCATGGATGTCTAGATTTGGAGTCACCCTCAAAATTAAAGTGGAAAACCACACTACAGGCTGATCCAACTTTGATGTAATGTCCTTAAAACAAGTCAAAATGAGGCTCTGTAGTGTGTGTGGCCTCCACGTGCCTGTATGACCTCCCTCCAATGCCTGGGCATGCTCCTGATGAGGTGGCGGATGGTCTCCTGAGGGATCTCCTCCCAGACCTGGACTAAAGCATCCGCCAACTCCTGGACAGTCTGTGGTGCAACGTGGCGTTGGTGGATGGAGCGAGACATGATGTCCCAGATGTGCTCAATTGGATTCAGGTCTGGGGAACGGGCAGGCCAGTCCATTGCATCAATGCCTTCCTCTTGCAGGAACTGCTGACACACTCCAGCCACATGAGGTCTAGCATTGTCTTGCATTAGGAGGAACCCAGGGCCAACCGCACCAGCATATGGTATCACAAGGGGTCTGAGGATCTCATCTCGGTACCTAATGGCAGTCAGGCTACCTCTGGCGAGCACATGGAGGGCTGTGCGGCCCCCCAAAGAAATGCCACCCCACACCATGACTGACCCACCGCCAAACCGGTCATGCTGGAGGATGTTGCAGGCAGCAGAACGTTCTCCACGGCGTCTCCAGACTGTCACGTCTGTCACATGTGCTCGGTGTGAACCTGCTTTCATCTGTGAAGAGCACAGGGCGCCAGTGGCGAATTTGCCAATCTTGGTGTTCTCTGGCAAATGCCAAACGTCCTGCACGGTGTTGGGCTGTAAGCACAACCCCCACCTGTGGACGTCGGGCCCTCATACCACCCTCATGGAGTCTGTTTCTGACCGTTTGAGCAGACACATGCACATTTGTGGCCTGCTGGAGGTCATTTTGCAGGGCTCTGGCAGTGACAAAGGCGGAGGTAGCGGTCCTGCTGCTGGGTTGTTGCCCTCCTACGGCCTCCTCCACGTCTCCTGATGTACTGGCCTGTCTCTGGTAGCGCCTCCATGCTCTGGACACTACGCTGACAGACACAGCAAACCTTCTTGCCACA